GAATACAAGGTCTGGAAGCAAGAGAGACAAGAGGATCGAACAGTAAAGAATGGAAACAGAATGCAATTTGTATGAAAATACAAGAACAATGAAGTCTGAGTCATTTTGAGTCAATTGATGGACATTTTCCAAATGAAGCATTTACTTTATGATTGTTAGATGTTATTAACAAGTTCTGTAGATTACCATTAAAATTCTGTAAGCACTGGACGACCATTTCATACTGTTATGAGACTGCTCATCAGTGTGCATCCACAATCCATCTAGCTGGATTCGAACTTAGGATCTTTGGTCTCGTGCGCGAATACTTAACCTCTAAACTACTGAGCTGGAATTCACAGCCCAATAATGATAATTATCATATACTCACTAGAAACTAGCTTCTTGAGGGAATGCTCAGAATTCTAGTGAGAAATCATAACCAGTAAAGTTAATCCATATCAGGTAGAGACAGGTATCTATCTTAGTACAATGTAAAAGGTGTTCAAGCAATTTCGTGGATTATTTGAGGATAGACATTAACACCGTTATATATCAACTCAATGGTCTAATGATTAAGTGTTCGTATATGAGACCGAACACTAACTTACTTAATTACGCCTGTTACTCTTCGTGAAGGAGCAAAAGCCGCTCATCAACATTTTCCATATAACCCTGTCCTGAACAATCCTTTCCAGCTGCTTCCAGTTCCTATTCACCCTTTTCATATCTGCCTCTATTTCTCGACGTAATGTGTTCTTTGGCCTTCCTCTTTTCCGCTTCCCTTCAGGATTCCAACTTAGGGCTTGCCTCGTGATACAGTTCGATTATTTGCGTAATGCATGTTCAATCCATTTCCATCGTATTTTCCTAATTTCTTCTTCAGTTGAAAAAACTGGTTTGTTCTCTCCCACAGAAGGCTGTTGCTGATGGTATCCGGTCAATGGATGTTGATTATCTTGCGTAGACAACTATTTATAAATACTTGTACTTTCCTGATTGTGGTTGTTGTAGTTCTCCAAGTTTCAGCTACGTACAGTAGAACTGTCTTGATGTTCGTATTCAAGATGCTGACTTTGATATCGGTTGAAAGTTGTTTTGAGTTCCATATGTTCTCCAATTGTAGGAATGCGGCCTTTGCTTTGACAATCCTCGCCTTTATGTGTGCATCTAATCCTCCTTGTTCATCGATGATGCTTCCCAGGCACGTGAAGCATTCTACGTCTTCCAGAGTTTTGCCATCAAGTTTTTTTGGGTTTGTGTTCTCTGTGTTGAAATTGAGGACCTTGGTTTTCTATTTGTGTATGTTGAGGCCTACTGATGCAGAGACTGCTGCTACAAAAGTTGTCTTCATGCGCATCTGTTTATGTGTACGTGATAGGAGGTCTAGGTCATCTGCGAAGTCCAAATCATCTAATTGGTTCTGAGCTTTCCATTGTATGCTGTGTTTTCCCTCAGATGTCAAAGTTTTCATAATCCAGTCGACCACCAGAAGAAAGACCAAGGGAGAGAGTAGACAGCCTTATCTGACTCCGGTCCTTACTTGAAATGCATCTATCAGCTGTCCTCCATGCACGACCTTGCAGTGTAGTCCGTCTTATGAGTTCCGGATAATGTTGATAATCTTCTCAAGAACTCCGTAGTGTCGAAGAACTTTCCATAATGTCCTCCTATCTAGACTGGAGATCGAACACCTTGGGTTCGAATCCTGCGAGCGAGATTCTCAGACAATAGCTTTTTCTAAATCATTATCATATCAACAAAACAACAATAACTATTATTGCTAATGATTTCTATGTTAGTTAAAGTTGACAGAATTATTTTTTTCTGGTTAGCGTTTGTTTTAGCGAGTTAGTTTCCTACAGGATGAGGACGCTAACACCAGGCCTAACCCTCCTTCTCTCTTACCCGGGGTTTGGAACCGGCAGTAACTCTAAAAGAGCTACAGGCGGAGTAATGTTATTCAAAGTTATAACCTTAATTATATAGAATAGAATACCTAAGAGATATAAGAAATAACTCATAGTATATTATGGATAAATGATATCAATGTTTAAAAGGAAATGAATTAGACAATGATAGATTGTTATTTTATGGTACGTTATGGTTAATTTAGTTGTCATTTCCACCCCACCCCTATACTTCTCCACCGCCCCATCAACAAATATTGGAATAGTATTTATTTAATTCAAGGAAATGGTAGCCAAAATCTTAATAAAGGGAAGTATTGCCTTGTGATTATTATATCTACTGAAATCTTTTATTAAGTAGTTTCTGTATCGATTAATTTAATCTGTAAATTATGTTTGTTATCGATTGATTTCAGTTGAGAGGCCATTCAAAACCATCAAGCATTGAGATTAGGTGTTTTACTCTAGTATAGGTCTCCACAGAAGTAAAACCCTGCCTAAGGACTGAACCTAGAAAATTCTAGTTTTGTGATGAATATTTATTCAAAAGCCTTACTATTGTAGTGAATGAGAACACAAATGAGGAGGGGGGGGGACAAAATTACAGAATCTCTTAGTAAAATATGAGAACCATCTAGTAATGTCATTCAATTGTCTCATACTTCATTGTTGTTTTGCTTCCACCTCAACCGTCGTTCTCTTTTCTTTGATTTTCTTAACTTTCTGCCTCCAGGTATTTCACTTTTGACTACTACTTATATCTGTCAATATCAGTAGCACACATCACATTACTAATTTAATATTCAGTATCTTTTAACACAAAATATGAATATATGAGTGCATTTATTAATCTGAAAAACTCTGCATAGAAACCGTCTGAGGTTACTGTCGGTCTCAAGCCTGGATGAAAGAGAACTGTTGGGCACATGGAGTTAGCAAACCCTTCTCATAGAAAACTAACTTTTTAAAATCTAGGCTATAAAGCTGAAATTCAATAGTATGCGCTTCTATTTATTTGTTTATTTATTCAAACACACAAGCATTACTAAAAGAAGGTACTAAATAGATATGTGCCACATAAATCATTCGATTTTTGTAAGGGTGAGATACTGACCGAGTGCTCAAACCAAAGTAACTGGTTTTCTTAGGTAGTCACACTCGAAGCCTTCAATCTAAACGTCTAATCTACAACGCAGTAGAGCAACATAAGGAGATACATCCACATGGTATTCTGTGACCAACAATAGGTTCATACTCCTTTTGTCCCATCAGGATCGTGGAGCCGTTGTGTACCATTGGTTTGGATTGAGGGTTTTGGAACTCTTCTAGGTGGAACCTCCATATCCACCAACCCGGTTAAAGCGCCGGACATTCGCTTTTCGTCTCCTCAATTTCGTAATCAACACTAATGCAGTGAGCAGGACTCCCTTGATAGTGGTTGTATGCACGTGGGCATTTGAGAGCATTTCTCAAGGGAGACCTTACTCTCCCTACTCTCAGCCTTACCAAGGCACTTGAGAGCTCCTAAAATTCAAATGATTTACAATCTAACTCATCCTTTATCCAGTTTTACTGATGATGGCTATTTCATTTCTCGCACAACTAAACTGTACCATTTATGATCCCCCATTAGAACTTGAGAAGCTCCTATTGAATACACGAATATAGTTTTTTTCTCGAAAGATGATAACGGAGATAGATTTAATTTATGAATGATATTTACAGTGATCTGACCTGTGTATTATGTGTGTTTGTTTGTGTATGTGTGTATTTGTCACTCTTGAATTTCATACTGAAACAATGTAAATGTTCAATATCCCGATGAGACTACACTTTATGGAGGACCTTCGAGTGACGCTAGAATGATCTTTAGAATGTCCATCTACATATTAGGATTAAATGAGGGTTATAAACTAACGGTTAATGGTTAAGAATTAGACTCATCACGAACTGATATTAGCTACAATGACAATGGCATAACTATAATTTATTGGACGAACCAATTACGAATAAGATAACAGGTCTCGGATTTTGGCTTAGTATTCATTCATTAGTTTGGCTAAATAGCGTCTTGACATTTAAGATAATCTCAGTTTATGATGAAAACCCTAAATCTAATTCCTAACCTTAACCATCAAATATACAGTCGGTCAGTCATTAACAACGTAGAACTTCGTACGTACGTACATCAGCTCGAGTTGCCATACCACATTAGCACAGAGATACAACTGTCGATTCAAATTCCATAGTGGTAGAGATAGTAAGAGTATAAGCAGTAGTCGGAAAGATTAGGGTTTGGAGATGTTATTCAAGGACTATAATCCAGTGAAATAAATTTGGAAAGAGGAAAAGAAAAGGGACATAAAGAATACAGAAGATTAGAATTTGGGAGAACACAAAGAGTGTATGCACCTGTGTCATTGCAAACGATTTTGAGCCATGTAATTCAAGGTCTCTAACTATCGGTTGCTATCATCTCGCGGATCCCAACCAGGTAGTCTACACCTACCAACATGGCTCAATCCACTTGTCAATGACTTCATAAATTTGTGCCATGTTTTGGTCTGGTCACCACTAGCTTTCTTCCAACCTACTCCTATACCATTGAACATCGCACATCGGTGCAGTCGGTGGTTGAGCATACGTAACACGTGTCCCAGTCATCTCAACTGATCAAGTTTCACTACTTCATCAATGGATTTGCCATCCTTACCTAGTACCCGTTTCCAAACAACTGTATTACTTATTCGGTGGTCCCACGATATACGAGCAATGCTTCGAAGACACCTATGATCAAATACTAGTAACCTACGAATATCCTCTACTCTTACCGGCCATGATTCACTACCATTATCTTTATTTGATCCTAATTATTAGATAAACACCCTGAAGGTTATTTTATCATCGCTCAAAGGTTATCCATATATTATAGTCTCAATCATTATTTAACTAAATGAATTTCGCGCTCAGAATTCAAGACATATTATCTTAAATCTGATTGGTTCATTCATAAACAAGAATCTTACCGCTTATTTCTTTTGTTTATATAAATGAAATGTATCATTTCAATGATCTTTTTCTTCTTTTTTCTTTTTCTTCTTCTTTGAATAGATTGTTTTATTAAATTAAAATTATGGGAAATTTTGTTGGACCAAGAAAAAAATTATCCAGAGAAGATTTAACATTTCTTAAAGAGAATACACATTTTACTAAACGACAAATTAAACAATGGTATAATGGATTTATAGTAAGTGTTTATATACTACTATTATTATTATTATGGCATTATTCAGTTCATTATATTTGTGGATGGGCTGTGATACTGCCCGGGTGCCCAAACCGAGGCAGGTGGTTTTCTTAGGGGGCCACACCCTAAGCCTTTGACCTAAAGGTCTAACCAACAAGGCAGTGGAGCATCGTAAGGAGATGTACTCCCATGGTAACCGGTGACCAACGATTGGTTCATACGCCATTTGTTCCTTCAGGATACTGGAACCCATGTACACCACTGATATGGGATCCGGTTAATGAGCCGGATATTCGCTTTTCTTCCTCTCAATTTCGTAAACAACACCCTCGCCACGAGAAGGCAATGAATAGGACTTCCCTGGCAGAGGTTGTATACGCGTGGCCGTGTGAGAGCATTTCGAGAAATGAGGCATGCCCACCTCACTCTCGGCCGTACCAGGGCATTTGGGGGCCTTAATTCAGTAATATATGTTTGGAATTATTATATTTAGAGCTTAGATTATTTGATAAAACTTCAGTAATTGAATGCTAGGATCCTTCTCTTAAGTATAAAACAGGAAGAACCGAATCATCATTATAGTCCTCTAATCCATTATTAACATTTGTTCAATAGGGAATATTCTTTTAAAAGACGTTTGGATGAAGTATTTTTGGTTATTTCTGAGCTTCTTAGAGCTTCCTCAAGTTCACCTATAGGCTTTCCTTACAAGCATCAGAAGTGGTTTTGTGGAGATTGTAGTAATTTCAACAGTTGAGATCATGAGTCAATTGAAGGTAGACCACCATGGAAAACCTGGAAGCACTGGATGGCCGTTTCGTTCTATTGTGGGACTCCTCAGCAGTGCGCATCCACGACCCCGCCTCGCAGGATTCGAGCCCAGGATCTATCAGTCTCGCGCCAGGCGCGTAACTAACTGGACCACTAAGCCAGTATCCAACGCTGTTAATATCTAATTTCAACTAATCCATGAAATTGGGCGACACATCCATCAGTGTCTTCAGTGAGTTACTATCTCACAACAGACCAGGTTGAACTCCACTGGTCACTGCTTCTCACTAGAACTCCAGGATATATCTCTTCAAGCCAGTCACTAATGAGCATATGTTGATTAGTATCAGGAGGGGTTTTATGGAGATTGTAGTAATTTCAAGAGTTGAGATCATGAGTCAATATATAATATTTCAGAAAGTTTTCATTTTGTACTTCTTGATTGATCCTAATGATAAATATTGATTGATGATTAGTTTAGATGTTAGCAAATCAGTCAATCAATATCTAAATAATGTACATTCTTTTCGTTCCACATTACTAGTAATCACAATATCTGTGATTGGGCACTATTATGATTTCAACAATGAAAAGTTGTATACATTTTAGAAACAAACCACAATAGGTTATACAATTGATTGACATAATGATCTATTAAAACAAATAAGGAAACAGTAAACTGATTGAAAGATCTAAATGGTAGGAATATATAGCCTAGATATTCAAGTAGGTTGCCAAGTTCTTTCAGTTTTTAAAGAGATAAATACATTTAACTGACAAAACCCTAATTAATTACTGGATTTCATTTCTAATGACTATTCAACTTGTTAAAATAGAACATAATGTCAACCTATTCATTCATACCAGGAGATTAGATACTAGGAAACAATGTATGTGTGTTCTTTTCTGTGTTTTACATCAATCTTTTAACAACAGTAATACATTCCTATTCCGTAATTGACTAATAACAAACACAGACAGTACTGGGTTCAAGTCTCATAGTGAACATCAACTCTATGGTATAGGTACATCCAGCTGACTAGTCTCAAATATGACGAAACGCATGTCCTGGATTTCACTACTAGCCACTGTCCATCTTTGCTTAAAAAACCTTGTGACTTAAGGCTATATCGAAACAATCTGCACAAGATGCATATATTCAAGGCATGCATTAGCTCTAGAATTACTACAGTTATCCATGTAGTATTTACGATCTAAGGAATCATAGCTAATTTAATGAGCCATTCGCGGTTTCACCGTTTTAAGGTATGTACCTAGACATGCATGGCCTAACTTCTGAGACAAGCATATGACTACTGGCAGGATGAACCAGTTTGTTCATAGTTATATAATATACCCTTGTGGGCCAGGGTAATTTTACATTGGTTTTCAGGAGAACCAGACACCATCCGGACTTTCACGTAAAAGCCCAAACAGTACAACTCAAGCTCGTTTAGCATAGGAACCAGACACCGTACAGGCTTTAACACTACAATCTGAATAATACAGCTCAATCCTGTGGCGCAACCACACAGGTACCAAGCACCCTGGTGAACCATTTGCACCATTCATATACACACTCACATCACATGTATAGTTATTCCGATCAATGATCGCGTGAATCAATTATGCACAGTACGAACAGGTCAAAGTTGACCTATTCCGCTTACACGACAGTCAAACTCGTTAATATTAGGAATGGCGGCATGCCTTACAATGTCCCAATGACAATGGCCCTCGGGAACACTGAAAAGCAACCACCAGTATGAATGAAATCAGTTAAACAGCAAACCAATTTTTTGCATGAACAGTCAGCAAAACTTGCTAAAGCAATGCCGAACCGTCCACAATAACAATGGAGAACCTCCAGCCTCATATGAGACCTTCAGCTCTATATAGCCATATAGCCATAAAGCTAATAAGATGCATATATACTAAATCCTAAATAACAATGAGAAACACAAGTAAAACAACACCAAATAAATTTAATCATAGACATTATTTAATTATATACCATTAGAAAAAATAACTGTTTACTTCTTCTTTACCCCAACTCATTCCCTCACTTCCAATGAAGGGCGTATGTTGTCAGGTGACACAATTATATTACCATTTTTTTCTTTTTTCTTTTTTTGATTTCAATCATAAAACAATATCCCTTAACAACAGTCAACCTAGTCGGTAAAACAAAACAAAAAAAGGATAAAAGATAATAATCATAAATACTTCAAATCATATGACATTTTATGGTTGATTTCATGAAGAACAACAACCACCACCACCACAACAACAACAACAACAACCACCACCACCACAGCAACAACAACAACAACAAGATAGTTAGCCCCTTTACATATGAACAATCTTCTATCAATCAATTAACTAATCTGTTCATTGAATCATTTCCTTATTTATTTATCTATCTAATTATTGATTATTATTCATGAAAAAATATAAAAAGAACCCAACTGAAGTGGAATTTTTTTATTATTATAATGAATAACTAATTGAGTAGATTAGTTACTGAGTAGGATAGAATACAAAATTTCCCCCCTAAATTTTATACGTTTTATCGATTTTTCTTGTTGTTGTTGTTGTTGTTGTTGCTGAGATACAATATATTTCATCCATTAATGTTGTTTCGTTTTTTTATATTATTTATGTCACTTGGATATACTACTTTATGTACTTTATTTAAGTAGTAAGTAATTAAATCTTACTATATATACATATATATATGTATGTACGTATATAGTGAGAGTAGTAACAACCATTTCCGGTGGACAAGTTACTGTATTAAAAAAAAACAGAAAAAAAAAGAATTTGGCATTTTTTTATTATTATTACATATTACAATATACCTAACCCTACTGATTGAAATCTTATATCCCCACACACTTATCTACACACAGAGACATACATACACATACATACATACATACTACATACATACATAACTACTTCTACATGGATACACATATACAGACCATCATGGATACTTAAATTGCATGAATTGATGTTGAATGAAACAAGTAGGAAAGAGTAGATATTACCCTTTGCCTAATGTATATAGAGTTAGCAATAGAATATTAGATTGAGTGGAATAGAAAAGAATCAAATCGTTATTATTATTATTATTATTATTATCAGTAGTAGTAGTACTATTAGTATTCAGTTTCAGTATCTCAGTTTTTACCATACTATTTTTAGAAACAATAAAAAACTGAGGGTGAAGGGGGAAAAGTTTAATGTTTAATTTTTAATGTGAAACAGTTTATAAACCATTAAATATGGAATAAAATATTAAGTTCTTTTTAAGTAATTTACTTAATAGTATTCATTTTTACTATGGTTACTTACTTACTTACTTACTTACTTACTTACTTACTTACTTACTTACTTACTTACTTACTTACTTACTTACTTACTTGCTTACTTACGCGTAATACTCTCAATGGAGTATAGGCTGTCGACCAGCATTCTCCAACCCACTCTGTCCAATTGGTGTTCATTTTTCGCATGTCGATCTTTATTTCTCGAAGTAATGTGTTCTTTGTTCTTCTTCCTCTTCTCTTTTGGCCTTGCCTTGTGACATAGTTGGATGCTTTCCTCAATGTGTGTCCTATTCACTTCCAGAGCTTCTTCCAGATTTCTTCCTCAACTGAGATCTGGTTTGTTGTCTCCCACAACAGGTTGTTACTGATAGTGTCTAGCCAACTATGTGTATGAAAGTACTTTCATATGTATTACTAGTGTGGTGTATACTACTTATGTCGACATAAGTAGTATATAACACTAGTCATGAATGAAATATCTGGCAACAGAAGCTTAAGAAGATGAAGGAGGAAAGAATAAGAACAGATAGCAATTGGTATGGAAATACCAGGAACAATGAAGTCTGAGACGATGGACTGATATTTACAAATGGAACAGTCAAGTTTGACACGATTGATAGACATTTTGCAAATGAAGTATTCACTGTATGGTTCTCAAATATTACTAAGAGATTCTGTAAATTTATGCTTGATTTTATGTCCGCACTTGTGTTCACATTCACTAACCTAGTGATTAGCCTACAATAATGCCAAATTCCAAACGACTGAGCGATTCTTATTATGTCATATAATACAATGTATATCAACCAGACAGATTAGGTTTCTAAACAAATTTAAAACACTTATGAATAACAGAGCGAGATCAAATGTAAGGGAAAAGTAGGGATATTGAAGAGGGTTTCTCTATCCTCTATGAAAGTCAAAACTCTATAGCAACAGATATGATCGTGTGACAGTTGAAGATCAATATATATATATAATAGTTGAATTCATGAGTCGATTTAAGCTAGACCGACCTTTGTTGCTACTTTGACGTGATGGTTGAGCTTGTCTATGGTGATGAACCAATCGAGCTATATTGGCTGGAACAATTGTTCCTCAAGGTCTTACCATGCCAGATAGGTCGGTTAAAGAACGATAAGACTAAAAGTAACAAACCCAAATTTCGAATACGAAGTCTTACTGCTGACTTTACAGAGGTTTGACGGCAGTAAGCTGTTTCCTTCAGACAACCAGAATAACAGTGATGCTGCCTCCCCACAAGGAGTGGTTGAGTTCAAAAAGGTCGACCGTAAAAATACTCTCCTCACCTTATCCCATGGATTTCCGTCTTCGGTGGTAAGGTCTCAACAATTATGGAGCTAACACGAAGATTACCTACAAAAATGGCGTGTGTGACTGACCTCAAGCAATTGTCTCTTAGGCACTGCAGTTACGATCCACAGTCACCAAGACCATCTTTAATCCAATTTTCTTTTCAGGTACCTCCAGGAATAGCCTTCCACGGTGTAAGCAGCTGGGAAGTGATAAACACCTTCATATCTCGTACAGCACTCAAGACCACCATTCAAAACCTGGAAGCAGTGAACGGCCTTTTTGTCCTAGTATGGAACCTCTCAGCGTATTATTTTTTGTTCAGTTATCTCAGTCCGTTAGTCAGCATCAACGTAGAACTTCGCATATACGTACATCAGTTTAAGTTGTCATATCATATTAGCACAGAGATACAATTGTCCATTCAAATCTCATAGTAGCAGAGATAGTAAAATTATAAGCAGTAATCGGAAACATTAGGGTTTAAAGATGTTATTCGAGGAGTATATTCCAATGTAGTAAATTTGAGAAGGGACATAACGAATTCAGACTATTAGAATTTGAGAGAATACCAAGTGTGGATATATGTGCTCCAATGTTTCATCTATTCCTAGAATAGTCTACAAAGAGAGTTTTCGTAGATTAACTTCATTAGAATTTATCTGAACAACAAAATTAAGATAGAAACTTTACAGCTCAATTCATAGTAGTTCAGTTCTTACATTATATTATTGATCATTTATTGATGCTAAACAAGACTTAACTACCAATATAAGAAGTAAGTTAATAAACAGTTTAATAAACTATACATACATTTCAATAGTTGAGATCATCAGTCAATTGAAGCTAGACCACCATAGAAAACCTGGAAGCACTGGAACGCCATTTCGTCCTATTGTAGGACTCCTTAGCAGTGCTTTCAGGTTATCCATGATGGTCTAGCTTCGACTGACTCATAATCTCAACTATAGAAATTACTACAATCTCCACAAAATCCCTTCTGATATACATAGATTGTTTACGATTATAATAACCAAAAAAACCAAATAAATATATTCTCTGAAGGAATCTTATTTATTTACTAATATGCTGGTAATATTATGAACAAGAACACAATTTAGGGACAACCAAATATATTTCATCACCAAAAATTACGTTACTTACTTATTTGCGCCTGTTACTCCTCGTAGAGGGGGTTAAGGCCGCCCACCAGCATTCTCCATCCAACCCCGTCCTGAGCAATCCTTTCCAGCTCTTTCCAGTTATTCATCCTTTTCATATCTGCATCTATTTCCCGACGTTATGTTTTCTTTGGCCTTCCTCTTTTCCGCTTCCCTTCAGGATTCCAAGTAAGCGCTTGTCTAGTGATGTAGTTTGGTGATTTGCGTAATGTATGTCCTATCCATTTCCATAGTCTTTTCCTAATTTCTTCTTCAGTTGGAAGCTGGTTTGTTCTCTCCCACAGAAGGCTGTTGTTGATTGATATCCGGCCAATGGATGTTGATTATCTTGCGTAGACAACTATTTATAAATACCTGTACATAATCTTTTAGTAAAATCTAAGAACCATCCAGTCTCAGACTTTCGTTGTTCTTTCATTTCCATGCCAATAATTTCTCTGTTCTCATTCACTATTCTTAAATCTTCTTAACATTCTAACGTTAGACATTTCACTTTCAATTGATGATATATACTACTTATAACTGTTGATATCAGTAGCACATATCATAGTAATATAATTAATGAGATTACTAATGAAAAAACAACTATTTGTATCTAATTATCTGATATAAATTTTATCAAAAATTATTTTATTCAGTTCGTATACTCTGAAACTAATTTTTATTCAGTTATAATAGATAGATTATGATTATCAATGGAATGTACCATGTATGTTATGTCCTTTTCAAGACTCATTACTTGAATAGATCCGGCATACTTCATTGTTAGTATTCATATTGGGACTCAGACGCCACACGGTATTATCCATTGTGCTTCTAAGTATTAGGGAGTCCATCAGAGAAATTACTATTCCCGATAGGTTCAGTATATATATATATACTTAGGAGTATAACAACACCTCCCCTGAAGCTAGTCTTTGTTGTTCAGCCTACATCAGCTATAAGGGCAAAATGCTATTTAACCAAATGAATGAATGAATTTCGTGCCAAAATCCAAGATCTGTTATCTTATACCTGATTAGTTCGTCCATAAATTATAGTCTCGCTTCTGGGTTGTTTTTTCTGTAGTTGAGCAAGATCTAATGGGATTTTTGTCGTTTCTTAACTTTGAATGTAATTGCTCAATATTCCAAATCAATTCAACCTGAGTTATTTATCTTATTCTACCGAAAAAAAAAATCAATAAAAACTGTTGTTAATTCATGATTCTTACTGATAAGTATACGAACTAAGGATCAAATTTGAATCAATTCGATTACCATGAGATGGTTCTCCTGTATAATCATTAAAAAGTAGGGATCTGGGTTAACAGTGATATATATATATATATATATATATATATATATATATATATATATATATATATATATATATATATATATATATATATATATATGTATATACGAACTTCACCTTGAGCCCCTCTGTGGCTACTATCGGTCCAAGTTCCCAATAAAGTAAGAGGGTTGGACATGTGGTTAGCCACCCCATCCTGTAGAAAACTAACTCGCCAAAAAAACGCTAACCAGAAAAATAAATAATTCAAACTATTAAAACTCTGCCTTGGGAATTAGAAGAGTTATGATGCCTCATGATGAAAGCCGAGTTCCTTAGGAATACAGGAGTCCGATTCCCATTCTCACAACCAGAGCAACCATTTTAATTTAAATACATGAAATGTTTGTACAATGTAGAAGATTAAGGGAATCATTCAAATTGCTGTAGAAATGAAAAAATACAACTTAGAATTGCTTATAATCAATACAACACCTTCAGAAGAACTCTTCCACAGTGTAAACAACCAAGAAATGATAGACAACATCATTATACCTTTAACAACACTCATATCATGTATAGTCCCATCATTGTTGTTGTTGTTGTTATTGTTGTTTTCATTACTTTTCTTTCTTTCTTTATCTTTCACAGCGTGATTGTCCATCAGGTCAATTAAGTAAAAAGAAATTTATTGAAGTCTATTCTGGATTTTTCCCTGATGGTAATGCGGAAAAATTTTGTACACATGTATTTCGTACATTCGATAAAGATAATTCTGGTCGAATTGATTTTAAAGAATTTTTATTAGCTATTAATATAACATCAGGTGGTGATCCAGAAGAGAAATTAGAATGGGCTTATCAAATGTATGATATTGATGGTAATGGTACTATAGAACGAACTGAAATGGTTGAAATTATTCGAGTAAGTTCTTGTACAGATTGATTTGATATAAACTTGAGTGACAAGCTTCTTAATGATGCCTTGTAGTGGAATCTAGTTTGATGTATGTTTCGTCCTATTTAAGACTCATCAGTTAGATGTACTTGTCTCCTATGAGTTGATGTGAAAAGAGAAAACAAAATCCGAACTACTGATTTACCTTTTATTGTTTTGTTCACCTTGATTAATTTACTAATGTTATAACTTGTTTGTGCTCCCTATCAATGTATAATGTAATGATATTGTCAATTAGAGAACAATAGCTTATCGATTGAGTCAATAATACATGAAACAAGTACGAACAGTGTTAGGGGGACATAAACTGAATTAAAGTATGCTCAATGCACGATTGCTTTGGTGCACGCTGATTGACTAATTCTTATCCAATCAGCACTAGTCGATACTTAGAGAATACTCTAGAATCTTCTCATGTAAATACTATAAAAATACTAACGTTTTCCCTATTGTGCTTCTTGTCTTCCATCTGGCTGATTCTTATCCAATCAGCGTTAGTCAATACTTAGTGAACACTCTAGAAATCTCCTCATATGAAAAACTATAAATATACTAACGTTTTCCCTATTGCATTACTGACTTGCTTCTTGCTTCCATCTAATCTTGTTATTTGGAATATAATCTCTTTCCTGTTCAACTGTGGTCTGATTTGGGGACTTGTCGAATGATTTGGTATCCAAGAATATTAAGCAATAGGAATAGTTGGGTCATAACCGTAAGAGAGAAATATAACAAACAGTTTAGAGTAATTATCAGTGTTGCTTCCTTCCTGTTAAGTCTAGAAAACCAATCTTCGCTTCCACAATATGTATCATATATTTCAAATATATTGGGTTTATATTACAAAGTAAACAGATCACCTTACACCATAAAATAGAAAATAACATTTGTTAGAAGGGCTTTTTTTAGATAGTATAGTAATTTTAATAGTTGAAATCATGAGTCAATTAGATATTAACACCGTTGGATGTCGGCCAGCTCAGCAGTCCAGAGATTAAGCGCTTGCGTGCGTGATTGATAAACGTTGGGTTAGAATCTCTCAAGGTGGATTCGTGGATACACAATATTGAGGAATTTCCATAGTAGGACAAAACTGCCGTCCAGTTTTTCCAGGTTTTCTATTGTGTTCTAGCTTCAATTGACTCATAATCTCAGCTATTAAAATATAATAACATTTGTACAAGATCTAGCTAAACGTGGCTGTGAATGTGGGAGACAGTAATGGTAAGTCGTTTAATAATAGTTCGTAGATCAAAATAAAGCTTAGAATAAGAGAGACATGATTATGAATAGTTTAGTTACTTAACAATTATACAATAGAAATATATATATATATATAGTATTATGGTGTGGGTTACTTATATCCACATAAGTAGTATATAGTGGTGGTCAGGCATACAAAGTATTTCAGTAGAAGATCAAGAAGGAAAGAACAGGAACGGAACGCAATTCGTATGAAAATGCATAAACAATGAGATGCTCTGTAATTTCATGTTAAATACATTCAATTGTCCCCAGTTGTGTTCTTGTTTACTACAGTATTAGTACAGAAGTAGACTCCAACAGTTACTATTCATTGGCAAAGAATTACATTATACCCAGTATCAGTTTGTATTGAAAACTTTGACCCTAATATAAAAACCTTAACTCTAATCTTATTGCATCAAAACTAATGTCGATGGATGATGTAAGGTCTATGGAATGATAATCCTAACTCATAACACTAGCCCAAATCCTAGTATACATGTATGTGTGTAAACTGAACTTATTCTTTTCACTACAAGTGACAATTTCAACATATGGGTGTTAATTATTAAAATCGAATCTATAATTTCTATTGTTATTAGATTGTTTTGTACTGATAGTTGTTTTGTAACTAGGCATCAGTGGATGATTTTGATAGAGTATTGTTTTAATGAACTGGATAGTTTGGTTGTGGACGAGAACCGGTGCTATCAATATGGTATGGTAGCCGGCTTGTTTGTAAAGCTTTCATTATTATTCTGAATGATAGCACCAGCACAAACGTCTCTCCATGTTACCCTCCAGGTACCAGCCAGCTCAAACCCATAAATGCCCTAGTACAGTCGAAAGTGGGGAGAGTTGGCTGTCCTTCACCAAATGCTTTCACATAACCACACGTATACAGTCAGTACCACAGAAGTCCGATTCACTGCCTTCTGAATGCAGAATCGTTATTTACGAAATTGAGATGACGAAAAGTGAATATCTAGTGCTTTAACCGGGATGGTGGATACGGAGAGTCCACCTAGTGGTGATGGAAAATCCTGATTCCAAACCAATGGTGAATATGGGTTCCAGGATCCTAAGAAAACAATTGGCGTATGAACCAATGATTGGACACAGGCTACCATGGGACTCCTTCTTCTGACATTGCTCCACTGCCTTATGGATTAGACCCTTAGGTCGAAGGCTTCGAGTGTGTCCTCCTAAGAAAACCACCTACGTTTTTCTGGGTACCCGAGCATTATCACAGCCCACACACAAATCCAGAGACTTGTGTGGCGTATATGTATTCTGTGCCCGATTTTGTACCAATATTTATGTATACATATAAATCAATAATCCAGTTCATAGAACAAAACCCCATCATATTTAACTTTTTACAAAGAAATTTCAACACTACTAACAAGTAGCTAACGTAATATAATAAACAAAATATCATTCATTATAATCAAAATATCTTAATGGGTAAGATCATGAGTCAATTGAAGCTAGACCACCATGGAAAACCTGAAAGCACTGGACGGCCATTTCGTCCTATTGTGGGACTCCTCAGCAGTGCTCATCCAAGACCTCGCCCCTTAAGAGATTCGAACCCAGGACCTACTGGTTTCGTGCGCGAGCCGGCATCCAACAGTGTTAATGTCTAACTTCAATTAACTACATAGAGAATTATCATTACTGACCAAACAACTTCTAAATATTCCAAAGTTCCTGTTATATTATGTATATAAAATGAACAGAACACAATAGTACAATGAATACTTGGATAAAATATCAAAAAAATAAATGAGAATTCACAGGAACCGGATATTGTTCTGAATAAACTGATAAGTATATATGTATACAGTTATAGGGATGTTATAAACTATGCTTCTTGAATGACAACTAAAACTTATAAGTGAGTTGATTAATTCACTGTACCATATAAAAATCTCCAATTTTCTCCCTTCCCCACTCTCTCTCTCTCTCTCACTCTTAACAACTTATAACAGGATACAACAAATAAGTTTTATTGTAACCACTATCAACAACCAATATTAAAATATACTGAAAGTGGAAAATCATACTGCAGATGATTAGAAGGAGGGGGTTGATATCTATTTGCTTAGATTGCATAGAGTTAAACGATTATGGAATTCATGTTTCTATTCTATCTTCACCCCTCTCTCTCTCTCTCTCGCATAAGTGACTATCGCCGGTAACCAATGGCAACGGGAAATTGACTACCTCAAACATAAATCATAGAAATTTGTTTAAAATGTTGATTGAAATCTTTTGATTGAATGATTAAAGTTTTGATTTAAGTGTAAATCTATTATGGATGTTCGTATGTGTATGTGTGTGTGTACTTTTGAGTAATTCACAATCAGTGAAATAAGTAGATTAGTTAAAGTGAAATAAATGTAAGTAATACAACATCTAAAAGTATTAGTACAATTAGTTTAAAAGAAGTGCTCGCTCGCAAAACCAGTAGGTTCTGAGTTCGAATCTCGCAGGGGGCGATGTTGTGGATGCGCACTGCTGAGGAGTTTTACAATAGAACAAAACGGCCATCCAGTACTTCCAGGTTTTCCATGGTAGTCTAGCTTCAACTGACTCATGATCTTAACCATTGAAAAATAGAAAACTCATATTAAGATTATCTTCCTTCTTAAAGTTATCCCCTACACCTAGGATACATTTCAATGGTTGTTACTGTTACGGAAACTAAAACCAACATTGTCTTCTATTAGATTAGTTTTACAAAATGCTCCTTTCCCCATTGATTAGAAGATATCAAGGGAAAATCGTACCAGACTTTCTCTTTAGATCAATTAGCATTAAAATAGCAATTTTATTGATTTTCGTATGGAAATCAACACATACTCATCTCTTTTAAAGATCATGGTGGTCAAAGTATTGATCAACAGTACTAGGGTATGGCTAACATGATGGTTATTGTTTGATCTTAGAAAAGATATTTCTGTTTTATTTTCTGAAAGAACTAATGGGTCTGTGGATACTTGTGTTTATTCTGCAGCAATTTGAAAGACTCTTCTGGTCTTGCACATTGTACGAACATTCAATGTATCTAAATTAATGGTTACTCTGGTTGTTAGAAGGGGAATCAGACTACTGAATACCGAAGGAACTCAGCTTTCACAAAGAGGTATCATAACTCTTCTGAATGAAGACCTTCCAATTCCCAGGGCACAATTTCAATGGTTTGAATTATTTATTTTTATGGTTAGCGTTTTTTTAGCGGGTTAGTTTCCTACGGGATGTGGTCTCTAACCCCGTGCCCAACCCTCCTCTTTTATCCGTAGTTGGGGCCGGTGGTAGCCTCAGAGCGGCTCAAGGTGGAGTTAGTTGTGTTTATTACTTCTGTCAAATTTTGTTTTCAATAGACAATGATAAATTGTATCGCTGAACAACATTGTGATCTAAATCTGTTCAGCCAGTTACAAGACGGTAATGATAAATTAAGAACTTATTGTTTTAGAAATTAGGATCAAGGTATGAATTTCAAGATTCTTACATCATAACTGATACCATGTCTAGATGAATACCTTTAACCTTAATTCCTTATTCTCTGCCATATTTCGATAAATGAACCATGAATAAAGCATTTACACATACGTTATAAGCTTAACGGTTTAGTTTAGCTTAGTATTGTCGTATATCCTATTGTATGATGGTTGTTAGTTTAATTACAAACGAAGAAAATACTTCCATTTACTGAGATAATACGATTATATGATTTGCTTTTTGATTGAAATCATGAGCCAATTAATGATAGACTATCATTGAAGACCTGGAAACACTGGACGTTCGACTCGCCCTATTGTGGTACTCTTCAACAGTGCTCATCTACAATCCCGCCTCGAGAGAAATATGATTTGTATCGGAGATTTTACTGTCACTAAACTGGATACTTGATTAATTAGTTATACGTAGACAAGGGTCACGTTACACTAGTTATATGATTTTTGATTAAAAATAAAGAGAGATAAAGTATAGATTGAACAATAGATTCATTTAATACAAACACCAACATTTCATGCACACAATAAAGCCCAGAGTAAGTTAAGTGTCTGTTTGTCTTCTCTCACAGTGTTAATGTCTAATTTGAACCAATCCACGAAATTGAGCCACCATCCACCATTGTCTTCCGTGAGTTACTATCTCATAAAAGACCTAATTGAACTCTACTAATCATAGCTTCTCACTAGAACTCCAGGAAATACCTCTTGAAGCAAGTCACTAGTAAGCACGTGATGATTATTATGAGAAGAAGTTTTGTGAAGATTTTAGTAATTTTTTAGTTGAATTCATGAGTTAATTGAAGCTAAGCCACCATAGAAAATCTAGAAGCACTGAACGGCCGTTTCATCGTATTATGAGACTCCTCAACGGTATATGTATATGGGTCGTTAAGATTTCTGAGCTAAATCGTTTCATCATGGAGCTTTCATTTCTATCCCAGGAAAAAAATTACTTACTTACTTGTGCCTGTTACTCCTAATGGAGCATAGGCCGCCGACAATCATTCTCCAACTCACTCTGTACTGGGCCTTCTTTTCTAATCCCATCCAATTGTTGTTCATTCTTCTCATGTCTGTCTCCGTTTCTCGACGTACTGTGTTATTTAGCCTTCCTCTTTTCCTCTGGCCTTGAGGATTCCATGTGAGGGCTTGTCTTGTGACGTAGTTGGGTGCTTTCCTCAATGTGTGTTCTATCCACTTCCAGCGCTTATTCCTAATTAGGAAAAGTAATTAGCTCCTATTCTGTATCGAAATAAGTTTCTTACTTATTCCAAAAGTAATATAAAGGGCAATTTATAAAAGAAACTTTCATTCCTGACGATGTCACTTACCAGAGAATACTGAAAATGAAAGCTCCATGATTAAAACATTCAAATTAGGGAACTAGACAATTCCATCGCTATTTAACTAAGCTAGAAATTTCCAGTATTGTGTATATCACTACAAGGCAATATACACTATAGAATGGTATGGTTAATTTTATGATTAGTCATATCATCTAATTGATAGCAACTCTTCTGTAATCCATTTCGATGATGGTTCATTTCAGTTAAACACTTCATGTTGACTTACTTAACAGACAATACACATATTTCTTTGTATTGTTATGGTCACTAGATCATATGATAGACTCTAGTTCAAATGTTGATCCTTTAAATATTGCTCGTTGATTCATTCTCTTCTCTAAGTATATAGGTACGCAAATCCTATTATTATTAGTCCTTGCTTTGCCTTACTGATGCTTTTATGTGATATGACGATATGTTTGCCTAGGAATTCGCTCGTACATACACATATTCAGCTGTCTATTTTAAATCTCCTCGATGTGTTCGTCGCTTTATGAGCTGTGTTATCCTCTAATAAAACTGTAGTTACCGCTTCTTATTGCTTTGTGATATCAAATCTCGTTGACTTAATTCCTTACGCCTGTTACTCCTCGTGAAGGAGTATAATCCGCTCCCCAGCATTCTCCATCCAACCCTGTCCTGGGCAATCTTTTCCAGCTCTTTCCAGTTGTTATTCATCTTTTTCATAACCTCGTTGAGGTTTGAACAAAATCATTATAAAGTACTTCTAATTCTATTTTGACATTCTATCATATATACTATTGATTTACTTTATTTTAGGCTATTTATTCAATGCTTGGTACAGATAATACAGCTGTGGATATTAGTCCAGAAGCTAGAGCTGAAGAAATATTTGAAAAAATGGATGAAAATGGTGATGGTGTATTAACACGTGAAGAATTTATGAAAGGATGTATGGAAGATAGTCAACTTAAAGCTATGCTATTAGCTGATGATCCAATTGAATAAAAAGGAGAACAATCATTATATAAATAATCAACAATAACACAACAAAAAATGAATCATCTGTAAACAAACAAACAAAGAATTCTATAACTAACCATTTCTCTTTAGCATCATCATCATCATCATTATCATCAGTATAGATTATTCATATTCATCTATTTTTCGAATTAGCGTATTCTACAGCGTCTTAGTATTCTATATGAGATAGAGTCACTCACTTTATACTCAACCCACCCCTTCTTTTTTATCCGAGCTTAGGACTGGCAGTAGTTCCAGAGGTCCTCCAGGTGGAATTCATATACATATATATATATATATATATATATATATATATTCTTCTAAATAATGTTTCATATCTTTCTCATATTTGTTTTAATAAATTTTAAAAAATTTTCAGGCGGTTCATTCAAAACTTTACGATACATGAAATTTCCTCATCTCTTTTTTTCTTTTTTTTCTTGAATATTTACATATTTCATTGAATCTATTCATATAAAAAGTATATTATAATTATGTAATACACATTTCATATAGACATTTATATAAATCCATTGAATAGAATGAATCAATATATTAAGAGTGAATAATAATACATATGCCATAGCAACTGTTTATTTCTTTTAATCATTTCTTGAATGACGTTTTGTGATATTCATGCCTAGTTCATTTGTTTGTTTAGTTGCTAAGGTGATAAATGTATTTTTGGTATGAGTTTTTCTTCTTTTTTTCTTTTCTCGTTTTTTTGTTTGTTTTCGATTTTCAATTTCTTCCTCTAATTCAACATCATGATGACACTTGCCAAAAAAAACACGATGACGTAACATCTTTTCTTTTATTCTTTATTCTTTATTCATCAATCATCAATGATCCATTGAATATGAGATCATTCATTATAGAAAAGTTTCATATGATGATTAAATGGGAGATTTTATTCTAAATAAAGTACATTAACAAGATTTCTAACAATAGGGTAAACTAACTATTCAAGTTTCAATAGATTCATCATATTACCTATTGAAATGATGATCATATCCATACACACACACACATACACACACACACACAAACCCCCTTCTTTCTGATGATGACATAATAAATAAACATTGGATTGTTTCATTTTCTTTCTTTATATATTGGTTAACTTGTTTATTATCAGAAGGGGTTTTGTGTAACATCAATATAGAAACAATAAATGACTATTCAATCAGTATTTGTAAGATTTGATAATGGTGCATTTCTTTTCTCTCGTTTTTTTTTCTGTTTTTTTTTAAAAAAAAAGAAAAACTTTAAGAAAACAGGGTAAACCTTTTCAAAATATACCATTCCCCCCCCTCTCACTCACTCACTCACTCATTGTTACTCACTGACCCTCAAACACCCACCCACCCACTCACTCACCCACTCCCTCACTCGCTCACTCACTCTTACCCTCGCTATTATTATAAATGAAACCTTAAAATGTAAATTTTTTTTTTCGTTTGTCTTACATAACTCATTAAATTTTACTCATATTCTTATTATTATTATTGTAAATAATTGATTATATAATCAAGCATAGTAACAAAAATACCCCTTCTATTCTTATGGTATGAATATATACATATACATATTTACATTTGATTGTATACAAAATAAAATTGAGATAACAAGATTGTTTCTCTTTTATATAAATGTAATAAATATAACACCTAACTGCTTTCCTTTCACCTATATAGAACCGTGTTGAGATATGTTCCCGTATCCGAGTTGAAAGCGACCGGGAACATATCCCAGCTTAGTTCTATAAGAGTGAAAGGAAAGCAGTTAGAGGTTTCATACTTGAACATTTAATCGACTGTAACCATTCTATAGATCCACAATATAAATAGAATTATATAAATTATCTTGTAGTATGTACTACTAATGTTCATAGATATAAGTAGTTGGTATGATTAATCGAAAATGAAATTTCTGGAAGAGTAAAGGATTAAGAAGATGAATAGGTGAGATTATAATTTATGAACAACGTTTGAGCGACATTAGACTGATCTTGAAAGTGTCCACTTAATAACAAGGACCAAATGAAGGTTATAAATCAGTGTGTGAAGAATTAGAATTGATGATTAAAGTTAGTAATTAGGTTTAGAGGGTTTTCATCACATCGTCAAAAATACCAAAATGCTCTTTAACCAAATTACTTATTTACTTACTTACTTAGATTTGTTACTCCTCTTGAAGGAGCATAGGCCACCTACAAGCACTCTTTATCCAACCCTGTCCTGAGCAATCCTTTCCGGCTCTTTCCAGTCACTATTTATCCTTTTCATGTCTGCTTCCTATTCCCGACGTAGTGTGTCCTTTGGCCTTTCTCTTTTCCGCTTACCTTCAGGATTCCAAGTGAGCGCTTGCTTCGTGATGTAGATTGATGATTTGCGTTATGTATGTCCTTCCATTTCCATCGTCTCTTCCTAAATTCCTCTTAAGTTGGAAAAACTGTCTTGTTCTCTCCCACAGCAGGCTGTTGCTGACTGGTATCCGGCCAATGGATGTTGATTATCTTGCGCACACAACTATTTATAAATACTTGTACTTTCTTGATGATGGTTGTAGTAGTTTCAGCTTCACACAGTAGAAGTGTCTTGACGTTCGTATTGAAGTTTGTGACTTTGATGTTGGTTGACAGACAGTTTTTTTAGGTTCCATATGTTCTTCAATCGTAGGAATGCGGCCTTTGCTTTGCCAATCCTCGCCTTTACGTCTGCGTCTGATCCTCCTTGTTCATCGATGATGCTTCCCAGGTATGTGAAGGATTCTACATCTTCCAGAGTTTCGCCATCAAGTGTGTTACCATTGGTGTTCTCCGTGTTGAATTTGTGGACCTTGGTTTTCCCTTTGTGTATGTTGAGGTCTACTGATGCCAAGGCTGCTGCTACACGAGTTGTCTTCACGCGCATCTGTTCGTGTGTATGGGATACGAGGGCTAAGTCATCTGCGAAGTCCAAATCGTCTAACTGGTTCTGAGCTGTCTATTGTATCTTTTCTTTTCCCTCAGATGTTGAGGTCTTCATAATCCAGTCGACCACCAGAAGAAAGAGGAAAGGGGCGAGTAAACAGCCTTGTATCTGTCAGTTGTCCTCCATGCACGCTTTAATCAACGAGGTGCATGAATCTCACGCCAAAATCCAGGACTTGTTATCTTAAACCTGAATAATTCGTCCATAAATTATAGTCTCGCCGATCAAAGACAAGAGAATGAGAACAGTGAATCATTAGTCTGAAAACGAAAGAACAACCAAGTTTGAAACGATTGATGGATATTTTGCAAATTAGGAATTCACTATACAATTCTCAGATTTTACCGAAAATGGGACGAATCGATCAGACATAAGATAACAGATCCCTAGGATTTTGGCGCGAAATTCATTCATCCATTTGCCTAAATAAAGTTTCGGCATTTAAGTTGATGTCAGTTCATGATGAAAAAACAACCCTAAATCTAATTCCTAACCTCTAATCTTTAACTGTAAATCATAATCCTAATTCCTTACACACAAGTTTATAACCCTCGTGTGGTTCTAGTAAGTAGGTAGAGACTCTCAATGTCCCTTCAAGGTCACTCAAAGGTCGTCCATAAATTATTGTCTCACCTTTAGATGTTCTGTAATGCTATATTAAAATATATTTGATTGTCCTCATTAGTGTTCTTGTTCACTACACTACTTATCTTCTTGATATTCATGATATATGTAACTGAATACGACTTTATTCGAACCTCTCATGTGCAGAATTCCGACACTACTCAACATTGTAGAAATGAAATTGGTTGAAGTTGAGCAATGACACTATTGGATGTCAACTTAGTAGCATACAGGTTAAGTATTTGCATACAATAGACCAATATATCTTCAGTTGGAATCTCGCGAACGGGATCATGAATACGCACTGATGAGGTATCTCATACTAGGACGAAACGATCGCCCAGTACTTCCAGTCAAGAAGATATAAGAGATAATTCTAGAGATAAAGAGTGATCTTCATAAAAGAAATAAAATATTAGAATAATAACAATTTTACGCCATGGTAAGGATAAGAATGGGATGTATTTGTTTTGTATCTATGCTATTCATCGTTCGTTTAATGAATAACAAGAGCTATCTCACGTTTCAAGATGTTAGTTACGAAGGGATCTTGATAGTTTTGAACGATTTCTATAATTAAACATTTAAGTCGATTTATAAATTAGTGAAGTGATTGGAATGGTTAAAATATTTAAGAATGAAGATTTGAAATGCTTTCCTTTCATGTTTTGTGAAACCATCTTGGAATATGTTCTAGTATTCGAGTTGAAAGTAAACACTGGCTACGGTCTATATATGTTAATCCACATGGGAAGTGGAACTGGTAGATGCACAAATCACTAATAATCACTGTCATGAATATTAACATTTTAGGTGTAACGAACGAATTATTTATTTATTTGAACACATAAATGTTGGTACAAAAGGGGGTATCCAATACATATGCAGTACACAAGTCACTTGGTGTGTGTTTGGGCTATGATACTGCCCGGATTCCCAAACCGAAGTAGGTGGTTTTCTTAGGGGGCCACACCAAGAGCCTTCGATCTAAAAGTCTGATCCACAAGGTAGTGAAGCAACGCAGGGAGATACAGTGTCGTGGTAGCTGGTGAACGATAATTGGTTCATATGCCATTAGTTCCCTCAGCATCATGGGGCAAATGTACATGATAGGTTTGGAATGAGGGTTTTTCAACTCCCCTAAGTAGACCCTCCATGACGTCCGTTTTCTCAATTTCGTAAACAACACCTTCGCCATGAGAATGCAGTGAGTTAGACTTCCGTGGCAGTGGCTGTGTATGCATGGCCCTAAGAGAGCATTTCGAGAAGGAGAGCTAACTCTCCTCCTCTTTGGATGTACCAATGTATTTTGGGGCGACGAACGAATTAACGAATAGATGGATTGATGAAATCAACATCTTTTTCTCGTATGCAAGATCTATGAGTATAATTTCAATATACTACTTATGGATAGGTATTTGTAAGTAGTTAAGTTCGTATATGTATATAGAATGGTAAATTTATGAAAGAAAACATAATAGTTATCTACTGTGTGAAATTTCATACATTTTCTTGTTGAATAAATGTCATTACCAGATGGGTTTTGTGGATATTATAGTAATTTCAATGGTTAAGATCATGAGTCAGTTGAAGCTAGACCACCATGGAAAACCTGGAAGCACTGGACGACCGTTTCATCCTATCGTGAAACTCCTCAGCAGTGCAAAT